ATCTGGTAGGTAGAAACTTTAAAAGTCAATCATCACCCATAGTTAACATCCAGAACATACTAGTTAATATTTAAAATCATGTTATGCTAGTCTAAACGAATTAATATATCTCCGGATGCACGAAGATGAAATGTTTTCCTTTCTATCAATAGATTTCTATCAACGAACCTTTTTTGTATTATAAAGTAATGATTTTTTCATATTTATATTTTACGTCTTCATACGTTAAAGATTTACACAGTTTTAAACCCATTTATCATTGTCATCATAATGGACATTTGGGAATTTCGTTTTAAAATAATAAATGAGGATAAAGACTCTTTTTTTCTTTTTTCTCAGAGGGTACCCAGGAAGAAGGTCCCGAGTTAAATGTATGATATGATTTTTTCTGTTGTACAATATTAGTCACCTGTTTTATTTTTCAATCAATTATTCAAATGATCTCAAGTTTTAAAACCCTAAAATGTGAAAATGATTACTTAAACGGAACTGTATTTGAAATTTCGGAGATATTTTTGGTAATTTTTTTTCTGAACTCCTGGCGGACAAGAATATAAAATCTTTAAAAATAAGAAAACAGTTAGATAAATCATCCGCGTCTTATCGAATAGTATTTTGAAATAGAAATAAGCGTTTAAATAAGCATTTAGAATAAGCATTTAAAATAGGCATTTAAAATAAGTAGGCGTTTATCATAAGCGTTTATAATAGGCATTTATAATGACATTTAGGATAAATATTTGTATATATAATACAATAAGTATATATTTATAATATATATATATATATATATATATATATATATATATATATATATAATAAGTATATTATAATAAACATTTTTATACGTATATATTAAGCTTTTTTTTTTTATAATAAACATTTATATAAAATAAGTATTATAATAAGCAATTAGAATAAGCATATCGCTTATCTACAAATAACTAATATATTATTCGTTGACATACTAAACTCTAATCATTATCATTACCAAATAAACTTTATCACCATATCACGAACTTTATCATAGATACAAAAATAACCATTAACTACGCCTATCTGATCTAATCACTTCTAATCGTTTTTTTATTCTTTGCCAGTAACCTTGTTTTGTAAAAATGGCTTTTCCGGTCTTATTATTAACTCGGTTCTAGGTTTATAAAGTTCTGTCCCTTGGTTAACGAAACAAAGATCACGAGAAAAAAAGTATTCAAAATGTGATATATCATGAAAGTCAACTGATGCGGTATTTAATGTCAGATTTAATGTTAGATTATCTATCAGTGCACGATCCAACAATTTTTGAATAGGCGTTCTCTGGTACATAACTACGTATTGAGTCATTATTCCCTTGGGATAACAAATAATGGTTTGTTTTATGCATATAACTATAACAAGTTTTTAATGAAGTTTGAATTTATCAAACAGGATTCTTCCTTTTTTTAACCACAAGGAGGTTAGCTTTGGTTTCAAACAATTAAATAATCATGAAATTCGTGTGAACATATTTTCATGTTTTTCCCAAAAATACTTATTCTTTTATAGACTAATCAGTCGAACTAATCACGTAATGTTTTTTTAATCTCGACTCTTCTTGAGAGAATTATGTACGTAAACGTATGATGTGAAAGTTATCAGTTATACAGATTTCTTGGGCCAAGATTTTTCAAAAGTTTTTTAGAAAAAATTTTTTTTCAAATTGATTGAAAATTTCCTGTTTAGATTATATTATACGTACGTACGTTATAATTATCAGTTATAGACTCTATTAGCAAGGCTTTTATCCAGAAATATAATGAATTGCTGAACAAAGTAAAACAATCATTTGAATCATATCTAATCAAGTTCCAGATACTTTTCTTACTACCGTTAGTTAGGCTTTGATAACAGGTAATAAGGGTGATACATACGTACCAAATCTAACGTATGTACTCAAATCCTTTTTTTAATTTTAAGAAAACAGATATTTGATGTTTTTAATATGATTGATATCTAATAGATTTAAATAAAACTATATAGTTAGGAATTGATAATTTTCAAAACACAAGAAATTATATATCGGTATCTTCCGTCATATCTGATATAATTTGCAAACTTTATACTGTAATACTGCATATAACTATTTAAATTATACTGGTTTTTTTATGTTTTTTCTGTTTTAAAGATTATTTGATTATATTAAAAACAAAAGATCTATAAAATCGTAGAGTGCTATATAGTAAGTTATAGCTTGTGTTTTTAAAATTTTTTTTTAAAGTGCTGTTTATCACGTGATAATGCAATATTTGACGGATTTTTATATAATCTTATTAATATTACATTTTTAGCATAGTATGATTTTTTTAGGTTAATGTTATTTAATTACACAAATCAGAGTGCTAGGTAATAATAGGATTTTGGGCGTCATTTAAGCGGGACAACAATATTCGCCAATCATATTTTTGATGACAGTTAAATTTATCGGGATTGAGTACCGGAATTGCAATAAGGACTTAATAATAATTATTGAATGCGATGCAACCTATAATGAGAATAATTCATTATCCGGTTGGCGTTATTTGAACTAAGAATTTCGTCAGAAAATTTTTTCACTAACCGGTTAGAATACGTTTTCACCATTAGATTAAGGTTTGAAAGGCTATAATAATACTAAAATTCTGCAAAAGAAAACTTTTTGTTAGTACGCAGAAGGCTGTTTCATAGGCAAATTTTGAGCAAAAAATGTTTCACATTGATTTAATCTCAAAATTTGGTTGGCTAGCAAAATTACGCTAAGGTGGATAAACAAGTTATTGATCGCTTACATCATCTACTTAATAACCGCAAACGAGATTATTTGTGGATTACATAATCATTACCGAGTAACTTGGCAAGTATGTTACTCAATTGGCGGTAGTTATGCGGTAGTTATCAGTGTTGGCACCCCGGAGCATTTCTATGTATACGGAATAGAGCAATGTAGAATTTTTTTTCCTTCACATATAAAACAAAATATTTAGTTATTAGTGTGAACAATAACTGCAGATATTTGTCGAAAATTTTTGCGCAGAGGCCAATAACTGAAAAATTATCCGTCATTATTATTCGGAAAAGATTTGTTAGGTGCATTCGGCCGCGGTAGCGGCCGAATAGCATTTAACAGATCTTTGACGAATAATGCAGTTATCCTTCTGTCTACGACGATCTGCATGATCGGTAAATAAAAAAACTAACTTCTCTTTTGTTACATCATTGGTTTTTAGCGATAGGTAATCCCCGTAATTACAGAAGGATAACCCTGATCACGCACCTAAAATCGACCAATTAGATTACAAAAGCGGACAGGCAATTAAAATTTTAACGTTAATAGTATCAGGTATAGATAATAGCGGATATTAAAAATTCCTCAACGGCAATACAATAGACTTGGGTTGGAGAAATGTAAACACTGGTAATTATATATTTGATAAATCGGACTTGACAAAAATTTGGTCCGAAATTCAACTTATCACGTGTTAGATTTATTACATGTACATTACGTAACAACGCATCTAAGAGTTTAATCCTAAGCTTGTATAGAACTTTTAACAAACACCTTCCATAAATGCGCTTATAAAGAGTTGACTGTAACGTAGAAATATGGCAAAAAAAACAAAAACTATTTTAAAATACAAAACATTATGCCTGGTGCTAAAATATTGTATATACATGCAGTATACATTACTATTTGATTGGTTTAAAATCACGTGGGCGACCGGAAAACAAACTTTTTTATCATTTTTGTATGGAAATGAAATCTCCACTTCGTTTCAGATTAATTAATTTGCACCATATTTGGTTATCTTTAAAAGAAAGGAGCGCATATAGAGAGTGTGATTTGAACCATAAACATTACTATTAAAATAATTAATTCTTCTTATTCAAGAACATTAAATTAATAAATTTCGAGTTACTACGATATTAAGGCTTTTACATACACATGAGATTTTAAAGATTTACTTTGACAGCGCGTCATATGTTTTATAATGTAAAAGTTATAGAACATGTTAAACATTAGCTGAAATCCATTTATCATAAAGTTCATCCCTTTCTGAGATACAGTATATATTTATTGAATTCTAATTGTTTTTGTCTACCAACTAAGTTATATTAGCTGGTCCATTTCTCACCACTAACTTTTAATTATCGTAGCCTGCCCACCTATACTCCGTCTATACTCCATTTGATCTAATAATATTTATTGCCAGTTAATAAATTATAAATCAATTAGGGCCATGACATTTATTACCTAATATCCATTTATTATAGAGGTTTACCCACCCTACTTTTAAGATATTTTAATCAAAATTAAACTACAATTTTTTACCCACCCCAAAAATATTAACTAATATCTGTCATGGTCCTTAAAATACTGGGTATATATTTATCGTTATATCTTATATATAATTCAGTATTTGCCAAATAATCCATGTATATTGTTAGTTTTTAAGCATAAATTGGTATAAAAAAATTGCAGCTACAGGTTCGTAGCATTCATTTAACAAAAAATCACTTTGTTCTTAAGATATTAGCGTGAATTGGCAAATCATATAGCATTTAATATTTTTTTTCGATCGTTTAATACACGTGATAAGTTTCTTTACAATGATTATATTAAAATAAAAACTAATTTAGTACTGTATAATTTAGTATAATTAAAATAATCAAACTAAAAATTAATTTTAAACTAAACTAACTTGATTTGAACTAAACCTAATTTAATAGATGTATAATTTATAAATTTTAAAAATCATGTTCATATACTGTATATTTACTTTAATATACGATACAGTCAACCCTCCATATAATCACCATCCCCATAAGCACATCTTATAACAACCACTATTTATCGCATTTGTATTTAAAACAAATTATATTAAACATATATATATATATATAATATACCTCTTTATAAGCACATTTCTTTATAAGCACATTTTTTAAAAAAAAAACCAACCTGGTGATTATAAAGAAGGGTGACTGTATTTATCGATATATACAATTGAAATTATCATAAGAAATGTTTAAGTACTCCATATCTAATTATTGCAACGATCGGCCAGTTCTTCCGGTTTGAAAGCGGGAAATGGTCTGATATGAAGCACAAAGTGAAACAAGATACGTATGTACGTATTTCTATATTGGGATATACAGTACGATGTTGACTAATATACGCGCCTATGATTTAATGACACGATTTACGAATCAATTCAATAAATCTGGTGACGACAGAGACCGTTTAAAGAAAAAAAAACACCTACGCTGTTACATTGAAAACAATACAAAAATCTTTATCATTATCTATATAACTTACATATTCCAAATATCGTATATGAGCTTTGATAGATAAGATCATAACGATAATACTGCGATAATATGATCACTTAGTACAAATCATATGTCAACCTTTATAAGACAATGGTTTTACCCAACTAATAATAACAAACAAGACCCTTACAGTTATAAACAATCGTGAGAAATTTACTATTATTCAAAGTTTACATAGTATCGGCACTTTCGGTGATAACCATGTAAGCCGAATTCAAAGCGTTAGTTTTTTTTGTTTCTGATTACCTGTTGAATTACTCGTTCTATGTTTATTTAAAATTATCGACCCACATGATTTACATGTTTTTTTTTTTTTTTGATTACCCAAATAATATTAAGTTTAATATACATATGTATGTATAACTATAATGTAAATAGGTAACAAAAATACCATCACGTGTTTCCTGATAAATTGTAATTGTTATAATGAATTCAGAAACAATTAGGTAATGATTTTTTGATCATTTACAGCTCTTAACAATAATGTATATTTATGATGAAATACGTATCAGCCATGGCAAATATTAATTTCTTAATACAAAAACATGTTAAAATCTCATACGTAGAATACGATAATATTTACTCATAAATATTTCTACGTAGCCACACTTATTTTTATACGTAAGTATCCATGTTTAGAATAAGAACAAACAGGAATGTTACATTTGGTAGATATTTACATGTAAAAAGCTGTGAAACTAAGTACCATAATAACGAATTCATATTAATGTATATATTACAGATCGACATTTACTCTAAATAAAACTCTCTCTTCGATACGTAGCAATACAATTAAAATATGAATTACGTACGATTGCTAGCATTAATATTATCTATTATAATATTTGTAAATGCAACCCCAGCTTATTTTCCGGAGGAACGGAGTGGTCATACTGCAGTTTTAGTAGAAAACAAATTATACTTTCTGGGTGGGAAAGACAACTATGGCCAACGAACAAATGATTTTTTTTACCTTGACGTTTCAAAACCATTTCTAATCACAAATTTATCTTTTCTCCCTTTTCATGACCTTTCTTACCTTTCTACAACTCTTCCTCCACATCAAAGAGGTACTGCCTCTCTGTGTGGTAATAAGTCTATTTATTTCTTTGGAGGTGAACGTGATCTTTCAAATAAACAAGATTCATTAATTTATACTTTCAACACTGTCTCTCAACAATGGTCACATCCAAAAATCAATGGTAATGAACCAAATATAAGAAAACAATTGGCATCAACCTGTGATTCTAAAGGACGAATGTACCTATATGCTGGATTAAGTGATGCTGATATGGGATTACCATTGAAAATTTATAATGATATTGATATCTTGGATACTGTGAATTTGATTTGGAGTAAATCTAGTAAAAGTGTTTCCAATCTTACCCCAGAGTCTAACAATGGATTTTCTGCTACTATGTTGAAGGATGGGATCATTGCTTACATTGGCGGACGGAATAATAATGGTTATCATGATATGAGTAAGGTTTGTTATTTCATTCACTTTTTGTGAATCTATCTATCTGGTTTAAAAAAAATTTGTTAACTTAATTCATTATTTAGATTATGCTGTATAATACAAATACAGCTTCATGGTCTGTTATGGTAAGAATATATTCATTATAATAATTTATTTTTATTTAAATTTTTATACGTATTCTAATATATATAATAATATTTAATTATTTATATATATATTTTTTTATATATATATTTATATATATATATATATTTATTTATATATATTTAGAAAGCAAGCGGTCAAATTCCTGGAAAACGTGCTATGCATACATCAGTCCTTAGTAAGCTAAATATATATTTTTAATTCTAAATTTTCCAATGACTGTCATATGTTAATAAACGCTATAATTTAGCCAAGGACGATCGAATTCTAATTTGGGGCGGTGAAAATGATGGATTGCCGGTAGAACCTCAATTAGCGGTATTAGATTCTCACTTTATATGGTCGATCCCTGATATAACTGGCGTAAAGAATTCAATTGAGATTTTACCTTATTATGCTCATACTGCTACTATGATTGACGATTATATGGTTATTGCATTTGGTATGTAAGAATTAATTTCAATATAATCTTACATTATATTACTTATTCTTACGTATAAGTCATTCAATTTATTTTAGGATTAACATATGATAAATTCCATAATATGGAAATTGCTAGTAATCGTATATTTTTGCTATACACGCCAAATCAATATCATTACGAATGGAATTCTGTTTTTATTCCATCTATTCTTTCAGACGCTTCCTTAACAAACTTTGAACCACCTCCAATACCATCCCCAATACCACCAATTTCATCACCAGATGATCCAATAGAACGACCCACATTTGCACTTGATGCATTAATTGTTGTGTTATTTTTGGTTGGTGCTCTTATTGGATTTGCTGCATGGTATTTATACAAACATTACCCCGAGATTAGAAATAGAGCTGGATATACTTTGTTACCTACCAATGATTTTTGGAATAGAGGATTGTGGGAAGCTGATTAATTTATCAGGTATTAAATTGATTAATTCATTTATTTTGTGTAATTAAACTTTTCTTAATAAAGTTAACTACATATGTTTTCTGTTTGATTCTCATATAAAGGTCTATCAATTTAAAAATTCGTCTTCCCGACAGAGAATCTAATGACATGACTCTTTTTTAATTGTTATAACAATTTATATATTTTATAAATACGTAGTCTAAGTTTTAAAAACTTGCTACTTTTTTTAGTTATTAATTGATTTTGTCTTTATGTTTGTATAAACCAATTTTATTTACTCTATATTATTTTAACTTTATAAATATATTGCTAATTTTGTTTATTAAACTATTAATTTTATTATCTTATTAAATTCATATTTAAATATTTTTGAAAATATTTGTATTGTATATAATTTTGATTTTATATTTGATATTAAAGTTTACTAATAAATTTTTTAATTTTACAATAATTAGTCAATAGTTAGTTAATAAAAAAATTATATACTATATACAGTATATAGTATATATATATACAGTATATTAATGATAATTACTGTATTAATTATATAAAAAAATTTACAAAACTTTTTTACTAGTAACTTTAAAAATTATATATATTTGTAATATTGGTACATATTTTTTGTAGTAATATAGTGTTGAACTTTTTTAATTTTGTTTTTATTTTTAATAACTTTATGAATAATAATTAATATACAGTAGTTATTAAATTATTATTTACTTATAAAATAGCTAAAATTTATTTATTATTATAAATTATATCTATAGTGTTTAGTATTATATATATATAATTTTTTTAAACAAAATTTAAAATTAAAATAAGGTGGTAAATCATAAGGAAAACAAAACAACAAAATTTTAAAATTGCCTACGAACTAATTATAAAGAAAACTATAACTAAACTACTGCCAGAAGGCAAATAAATATTACCAAGTGCCCCGGGAATACCCACCACATTGAAAAGAGACAGAGACACACTTCTTGCTATTCCAGAATCCTTCGAACCCTTCCTCATCCCCTCAATAATAAGCACGGCACTGATGGACCCTGCCGGGACCACAGATG